TTCATACAGCTTTGTAGAGAATTGAATGGCGCGTCTTTTAAATAAAGGTTGAAGCCTGGGCAATGAAAATTGAGGGAGATATTCACGAAATACTGACACCGCCATTCTTTATGGGCCACCCATTACAACAGCTTTGAGAACTAAAGAGAATTTTCTACGATTAAACATAACTTTTGATAAAGAGAGTTTTTTGAAATATAGGAACAGAGTTTTAAAATAACAATCATTTGAGAGACAACGAACAGGTTGAATTAAAAATTAGCAACACTAGTTAGTTGTCTCTAATGGGATTTTTCTGTTACGAATTCATAGATGTCTCTGCATATTGTATGTTGTTTATTGGTTAGAATATGTAACTAATCTCTTTTATTGGATTGCTAACAACGTCAACAATGGACCAAGAGTTGAGCATAAACGTGGCATAAGTCGAGTATTTGTTCCTGTTAGATCTGAAGTTTTATACATCCCTTAAATGACAACAATACGACCATCAAATAGTTCATCATTTCCTGACAAAACGGTCAATCCCGTATGTCATTGCTTTATATAAAAATATCATTAAATTCTTGTCTTTTTTGAGGTTTTCCCTCCAATGTCTTATTCAATTGCAAATAGTATTCGACCTCCATTGTTTCCACCCAACATTTCTACATCTTCGACTCAAAATTTTTCTCAACCTAATGCTCCAATTTTTCCACCAACTATTCCACCATCGTCGAATGTTCACAATACAAAAATAAATCCAACACTACCACCTTCACATGTTTACAACACAAACACCAGTCCTACTCAACCAATAGCAACTACTGATAAATTAAATACAATTCCAACTCCATCAATATCGAATGTTTCTACTGCAAATGGAAATTCAACTCCACCATTAAATGTTCTCAGTACAAAAACAAATCCAACTATACCGTTTCCTACTCCTTATAATATTAGTTCAAATCCAACTTCACAAACATCTAGTTTCTTCACTTCAAGTACAACTTCACAACCAACCAATCTTTTCAATTCAAATGTAACTCCATCACCACCATATGGATATAACATCAACACAAGTCCACCACCACCACCACCACCATCAAATATTCTCAATACAAAAGTGAATTCACCTTCACTACCAACGACTAATTATCCAATCAATCCAAATCCATCTCTACCACATCCATCAAACGTCTATAAGCCTCTTTCAGTACGATATATTTTATTTGTTAGATTTCTCTCTATAATCTGAATATTTTTTCTAGACCTACCAAATACCATCATCTCAACCATCAATTGGAAATGGTAT